TCTAATAAATATCTGGGTTTGCATTTGGGCTACCCCATGCCAAAGCCAGCCCAGCTCCATTGCAGTCTTGAGCTTTGGGAGTATCCCCTGGGTCTGTCTTTGGCAGGAGCAGACTGCAGTGCCAGCCTCTCCACGGTGTGGGAGTGTTGTGCTACATTTCATAGGGCTCTGAGCCTGCTATCTGCAGTGTGCAAGCAACTCTCTAAGAAGAAAAACCAGCATCACTTGTAGGTAGCAGCAGACTGCCATAGGACTGTTTCTGGCAGTGACTTGCTGTGGGAGCGCAGCCTGTTCACTTCACTCCATGTTCCATAAGAAACAGCAATTGTCATTATTTGATTTGGCTGAGAAAAGTAGTGTAAGACTCTTGGGTGTGAACCTGGATTTGGCCAAGGGGCATGGGACTGCACAGCAGTTACATTCCAATTCAGTGTTTGTCACGCTTGCAGTGATTTATTAGTATCGCAAGTTCCTGCAGAGTCCCAGGTTTCTCTTGGCTGCATCCATCACCCTGAGCCCTCTGTGCATCTAAGCTACGATTTTATGCATCACTCTGGGGAATTACGTCCACTTTGTCTTGCTGCTTTTCCTCTCGTCTGGCAGAATCCAGTCTAAGGGATGTCAGAAGAGGAGGAGGTAGTAGCGGGGGTAGACATGGGCTTGCAGACATTTGTCAAGCCCTGGCAGTGCAGACACCAGTGAGAGAGGGCTGATGAGAGACCCCTCCTGAACAGCAGTGGTTGTGATGTGTTTTGCCTGGCACACAGAAATGGCTTTCACATGCAGGACTAAAGTCCACAGCTCACAGGGAACATTACTGGTGCTGAGCCAAGTTTGCTCCGCAGCCTTCCTTCAGTGTATTTCAAAATGCACCTCCAACGCACCATCCTGGGAAAAATAAATCCAGGAAGCGGTTCTTCTGCCAGGAGTGCACGGAGGGGTTGGACCCTCCTCCACTGTGCTGCTGCAGCCCTGCTGGAGACTCCCCAGTGAAAACTAAGAATTTGCTGCCATCTGTAGACATTTGGGTGCTGTTCAGGCCATTCCCCCAGCCCTGCTCACATAGCCCTTATATAGGCAAGACATCCACTGCAAAACCTCCCCAGTCCCAAGGCAACCTATTCCTTTCTTCAGCATTTCGCCATCTAAGGTAGCTTCTACCGTCTCCAGCCTATTTATTCTCCACTGTTGGGTGCCAGTACTGTGAGGAGGGTTTCAGCATCCAGCTCCACTGGTTGAAGGCAGAGAGCTTGGACTTTGCTGGGGGGCAGACAGTGATTCCCTTCCGAATGGCTCTGACAAAAAGGAAGTTTGTCCACTGAGGAATGTATTGCTGCAGTCCCACAGTGGCCAGCAAGCTTTTCCCAGCAAAGCTGTGCTCCAGGTCTCCGTTGGACACTGACAGCATTTCCTGGCCAGAGTGGCTGCGTAGTGGGGACAGACATCTGCACTCCCACCTGCCGAGCCTCCGCCTCGCTGTCCCCACTGTCCTCCATGAGCTTTACATCTCAAGACATGCTTTGAGAAGGTGATCTGGCATCTCCCTCCCACCCCTGCAGTGTGTCCCTCTTCCTCAGGTCAGGAAGATAGCCCTGGGACGGTGAGGGAGTCCAAAACACATTCTTGGAGAATGTGGGACCCTACACTTTCTCTGCTGCATCATGGGGGGCTGTTGCCACCCTGCGGTGTGTTCCACAGTATTGTCTCAGAGCACTGACCTCTGGTTAAACACCTCCTTAATGGAGTGAACCCTGGCCATGTAGTGAGATGTCCCAAGCATTAGCACAGTTTCCTGGTGCTGTTCAGTCATGTGTTCCAACCCCAAACCCTCAGCAGATGAGAAACAGGGGGCTGGACCTGTGTGTCCTTCAGACCAGCCCATCGCAGCAGTGGCATCTTCCTTCGCTCTCTCAAGTGCTCCAGTGCTGGGGCCATGGCCAAGGCTGTCCAGACAGGGGAGGCACACAGGGGAGGGATGCAACAATTCATGGTGCCCCGCTTCTGCCTCCTAGTTCCAGGGCCAGGCTAATCTGCACGTGTTCGAGGACTGGTGCGGCGGCTCCATTGAGCAGCTCAGGAAAAACCTGCACTTCCCCCTCTTCCCTCACGTAAGTAAGACCATGACACCTGCTGCCCCACACTTCCCAGCTCTGCTTCCCAGCTGGGTCACCCCTGCTCCCTTCACATCCTGTCCCTATCTCTATCCATCATCTGTCTGTCCTGCTGCTCATAAGCATCCATCACCTCCCTCTCAACCACTTCCTCTGTCCTGCTGAGGGAGCAGGAGATTTTCACAAGGTTTCAAGGGTGGCAGCTCTTCTGCTGCACAGGGGAGGCTCATTTTTCTTATGCTGGCCTGCCAGGCCTTGGACACACGGTGAAGGAGCCTTGTATTTGGTGTTCTCCTTCCAAGTAGCTAGCAAATGCCACATCCTGTCCCCACCATCTCAATGGCATTCCCCTGCAGCTCTCCCATCCACAGCAGCATCTGCTCCAGTTCAGTTCTCATCTGGCCTGCTCTTTCTCTCTGCCTCCATCACACACTGTAGCCCATCCTCCTCTCAGAGCAAACCTCATACTTCCCTCTACCCACCTGTCTCAGGACTTTTGTATCTCCCCTTCTTCCTGTCACATCTAAAATTATTTTGGTAATTTTTTTCTTCTTCCACTTCAGACACGAACTACACTGAAGAAGTTGGCTGTGTCCCCAAAATGGACCAACTATGGCCTCCGGATATTTGGCTACCTGCATCCTTTCACCAATGGTGAGGATTCTGAGGCTGCTGTGCCACTGCTCACGTCTCTTGTCACCTGTCCCTCCCCTCCCTCACTCCCCTCCTGGTGCTGAACCGCTCGTGCCTCACCCTGGCAAGCCCAACGCCTGGTCCCTCATGTGGGTGACGTGCCTGACTAGCCGTGGCCTTGGCATGGGTGGGAACACATCTGCCTCCCTTGTAGAGTGGAAAGGAAAAGCACAGGAGAAAACAGATGGGAAGTGCTAGATAAATAACAATGCTGTCGTGAATGCACGGCCCTATGGCATGTGTGTGGGCACGAACAATCCCTGAGCTTTCCCTCCCTCCCTCGCATGCCCGGGATTGTACATGACATCATTGATGTCCCTGCTGCTACCCGGGTGCATGAATAGCATCTGACAGCAGCTGACATCTGTATCAGCCAGCTGCATGTGTCTGCCCAAAGCTCACCCGCCTCTCGCGGTCCCCTGGCCCTCAGCTGCCATCCCCAGAACAGTGAGACTCAAGCACCTCTGACTCCCTTTGTGGCTCCACGTGCACTTTCCTCCATCCAAACACAGCATCTCACACAAAAAAATTGCTCTGGAACCAAAATAGGAATTTAATAAGACTTTGCATAGACTTCTTAGCTTTCCAGGTTAGACATCAGATGAAGCCGATGCAGGAAGGACAGTGAACAAGATGCATCTGTAGAGTTTGTTTTCAGTTAGAAAATTGAGAGATGCTCAAAGGGGTGAGGGTGGTATTATCAATAGGGAAGCTATGGTCTCACCAGGAAAAAGGGCAAAGACAGCATTTTAGAGGAGCAAGATCTGTTCTGTGCATGAGCCCTTACCCCAAAGCCCTGCTCACTCCCTCCATCTCTCAACAGGGGAGTTTCAGTTTGCCATTGCTGCGGATGACAATGCCGAGTTCTGGCTGAGCCCAGATGAAAAGACCTCTGGTCTCCAGCTGCTGGCCAGTGTAGGCAAGGTACTGTGCATGCTGCAAGGCTTCTTCTATCCAGGCTTTAGTGTGTCTGTGGGAATGGAGACCTTCCTGACTTGACTTACATACTTCCTTGGACTACTCAAGTTTCTTTTCCTGCCCAACTACAGACAACGCCACCACAGATGCCAGATGGGTATGACATGTCATACCTTAAGCCAGTTACATATTGGCAGCCCCCTGCTTGTGATTAAGTGACATAAGTCTGTCCATAGATGGATCTCACAGACAACTTACCAGGAAGTACTGGAGGGAAGAGAGAGCTCAATTTTCCCTCTTCATTATTCTCAATGCAATAAGAAGAGAAGAAACTCATGTTAACTAGAGCATCTTCCATCTCTTCACAGACAGGGAAGGAGTGGACTGCACCGGGAGAGTTTGGGAAATTTCACAGCCAGCAGTCAAAGATGGTGAGGTGAGTGAGCAGAGTCCCTTGCTCCCAGCCACCTTTGCACATGGCCAGGAAATCACAAGGATGAGGAAAAGGAACCCAGGCTTGTCCTGGAGAATTTAGCAATATAGAGAAAGGGATTACTCTGAGGTATTGCCAAAGCTTTGCTGATTTACTGCAGGAATGCAAAACTTAATTTTTCTTCCTCAGAGGAATCAGCCACCAGCAGATCCAGACTCCTCTATATGAACTATATCCGAAGCTTCCTGCCTTGGAATTGGCTGGGTTTCCCAGAGGCCAAAACCCAGCAGGCGAGACTGAAAGGGAGTTATTCAGCATTAACTGGGAAGGGTCTGTAGTGCTCCAGATGCACAGGGAAAGCTGCCTATCTCACTGTCAGCATCTGGATTTTCTTGGCAGCCCTAACCCCGTTCACCCTGAGAATTAGGTTGTTTCATGGGTGTGGTTGCTCCCCACTCATTGTCTGCTGACAAGCTAAGAAATATTCCTTAACGCTCCTGGTGACAGACACGTTGTTCTTCACAGGTTGTCAGCTGCAGGCAGGTACTATTTTGAGGTGCTGCACAAGCAGGATGACAGAGGAACAGACCATGTGGAAGTAGCAGTGAGTCTGTGGAAATGATGATACTGTATATATGTCCCCATAGAGCTTGGGAATGATGTTTGTAACTATTCCCCTCCTTTCCCAGGCCTCAGCTCCTCTTGCATGAGATGTATCTAATCCCTTCCAGAACCTTTACCTACTTCTGTGAGGGATAGTCCTGTCCACATGTCAGGACCCTTTCCTCTGCTTGCTTGGGATAGTTCTGCCCTCTCTGGTCTCCACTGCAGCTTTTTGTCCTTTCCCATTTTGGATTTGTCCTGGGGGATCTCAGCTTATTCTCGGTCTTTTGCTGCTAGGTAAATTCAGTCATAGCAGGGAGAAAGAGGAAAGCTGCGAACCCATCTGGTGAAAAAAACATCTTGTGCCTGTTCCTTTTTTTCAGGCTTGGTTAACTCCGTAAGCACTTCATTTTAATGTGTTTTCTCTGTTCCAGTGGAGACTGAATGACCCGGAGGCGAAGTTCAGAGTGATTGACTCCCAATACCTCTCCCTTTTTGCTAGTAAGTATCTTCATCACAGGTTTTCCCAAGCACCTCCCCATTCTTCCAAAATTTATCAGTGGTGTTTCACCATGAATCATAGTCTAGCCAGGCAAATACCAGGCATACAGATCATTAGGAGAAAAAGGTGGAGACAAGTCAGGAGAAAGACTTCTGGACAAGGGTATGACTCATATAGAGTAGAATTGGAAGTAAGATTGAAACATTATTCCAGGGAAGTCTAGAGGTAGCAAGAAGAGTCTGCAAGGGTGAGAAGTGTTCAGGTGCGAGAGTAACACAGGATGGAGTTTGCTTGCTGAGAGCCAGGGGGAATGTGAGGCCCACAGCATGGGAGCCGTGGGGAAGTGCTGTCAGCTGGACACAACCAGGGAGGGGGCCACTGTAGCACTTCCAGGGGATTTCACTTTGGGTCCTGAATACAGCAGGATACACTAGTGATACTGGGAGATGCTGCTTTCTTCTGTACTAGCCTCAAGCCTCTTCAAGTTGTTGCTGGATTGCAGCAAACACATCAGTCCAGTCCCTCCTGTTTTGTAAACCCTTCTTAGCACATCAAGTGATGCCTTTATCAGTTAAGGAACTCCTTAGTCCTGTTTACCCTTACCTAGCTTTGTCAGCATCACTTTCCTCTGCCAGCATTCCCCCTTTCCATATCTACTACTGATGCCTTCCAACATTTCTGGGTTCTTTCCATGCCAGCACTTCTGTGCATGGAAGACTCCCTGATGTAGTCAAGACATCTGTTTGCTATGTCTTGGATTACAACCTGCTGCTGTATTTTCTGAAACCTGCCATTTGACCAGGACTAGGCTTTCCATTAGGTCTTCCATCTTCATCCTTTTTCCTTCTTCTCTTTTCTTCTTATTAATTCCGTATAGAATAGAAGACTGACATCCCAGAAGATCCCTCTGTGGTTAGGTACAGTGCTGCAGTCTCACCTTTATCTGTCACCTTCTGCCCATACAGTTTTTCTCTCTTCCATATTAGCCTTTGGCTGTATCATGTCATCCCATTCCTTCTGGGTTCATGTGTTGTTCAGTACCCAAAAGCTGCACACCAGTGCCCTTGGCAGCATGTTGGTTTTTCCTTCATGGATATTTGTTCAATTCCCCTCATTTTAGAGTAAGATCTATGGAGACATGAAGTCCCATGGCAGCAGCACCCAAGAAAAAATGTAACCAATACTCAGTCTTGAGTTTGAGCTTCCCATTGCTCCTGGCTTACTGTGGGTCTTTATTCCCTTTCTGGAGTAACATCCTCCTCAGCCACTGAAGGCCTTGCCCCGGGGTCCTGGTCCTTTTCCAGCACAGGTGGAAAAGGTTTTTTCAGGTTTTTCCTCCCATTCATCTTTTTTATCTCCTTTTAAAAGAAATGCAATACTAATGATACAGAGGCGTACAGTAATTCCTGCCAGCATGGGGCTTTTTCAGCACACCACTGCTGGTCTGTCCAAGACAGGAGGCCATTTTCCTCCATAACTTATCCCTGTGTGTTTGCTTTCAATGATAGCCATGTTCCTAATCCACAGCTTCTGTATTTCCAGGTCAGAGCCTTTCCTTCCTGCAGTGTCTTTGCAGTGGTGCTCCTGATCAGCACCATTTAGGCGTTGCTGTGCCGGAGACAGCATTAGTGCCATGAATGCAAAGCCATTTGGAAAAGGCTGACGTTGGAGAGAGGTGCTTTTTGGGACAAGGGACAAATTAGCCCTTCCTCCCCCTTCTGTTCTCTCTCTGGTTTCTAGACGAGACGCTTTTAAAGATGGATGAGGTCGGGCATATCCCGCAGACATTGGCCAGTCACAGGAGCCGGCCTGCTGACAGCGCAGGCAGCAAGGCACACCCGGCTGACATGTTGAAGCCTGACCCCCGGGACACTCTTTATGAAGGTAAGACTTGCAAAGCAGCTGAGGAGGTAACTGCAGCCTGTCACAGCACGCGTGGTGACACAGCTGAGAAGCATCATCCTCCTACACCACGGTGGTCAAGGCCATGTTTTTTTATCCCTGGTGCAGAAGAGAGGGGCTGCTACAGTATCAGTCGCTGTAGGAGACAAAGCACAGACTAAACCCAGCTCCTCTTTCTTGACATCCAACTCACACAACATCCCCAGGCATAATATTTTTGTGCTAGTGCCTTAGAGGGATGTAAAAAGATGAGTTGTGCAAGGTTTGCTTTATGTATCTGTTACCATTTCACACAGATAAATAAAAAACAGGGCCAGAAGTAGCTAAACTGGTGCATCAGTTGCAGCTGGGCTCCTCCTGCAGCGCTTGCCCATGTGTTTCCTCTTCCCAGTGCCTCTGCTCAGCAAGTCCCGTGTGCGCCGAGCCTTGCCCGACTGCCCCTACAAGCCCAGCTACCTGGTGAATGGATTTCCTCTGCAGCGCTACCAGGGGCTCCAGTTTGTAAGTTTTATTTCTTAAGCAGGTGCTTGCCCAGGGGAACACAAGGAGGAAGGAGAGAGAGATCCCGTTAACCATGGGGCTTCTCCACCGATCTGAAGCTCCTGGGCTGATCTGATCATGTGTTCGGGTCTCTGCATCCCAGTACGTGCCAGAGGGCAACGTCAAGGAAAGGGAGATCAGTGCTGTGCACTGCTCATGTGTCTCACCATGAGTACGAGTACCCTCACCGAGGGTACGAGTGTGTGTATCTTACAGAGCCACTCAGGCCTCAAACCAAAGAGCTGAGCTTGCCTTCACACAGAGCCTCACAGTGGCTGAGGATTTCATTCTTTGTGGGGTGAACTGTACCACTAAAGCCCCTGACATCTCTTCAGGAGGGCATGGCCACCTCTCTCCTGCCTAGTTCTCACTCTGTTATTTGAATTAAGCTCACAGTTACAGAGATGGACAGACAGATGCTGAGAAAGGGAGGAAAAGACACACCCAGGCACATATCCTAGCATGCTTCCTTCTGTTTTCTATTCTCACAGCCTGCTACTGCATGCCTTGGAGAGGCAAAGATTTAGTGAGCAGCTCCTGCTCCCTTTAAAAAGGGCTGGTTACCCTGCAACTATGTCTGGGTTACCTTGTGACTGATGTCTGGCATTTATGAGTTTTACTTTGTTTTTCTCTCTTCAGGTTCATTTATCCTTTGTTTACCCAAATGACTACAGCCGCCTGAGCCACATGGAAAAAGAAAACAAATGCTTCTATCAGGAAAACCCTTATTATTTGGAAAGGTAGGATGCTGCAAATGTGGGTTTAGTAGAAGGGAGGGAGGAGGTGGTTTGAAGGCTGGAATTGGTGTGGAATTTCATACTCACTTCTGTAGGACTCTCAATTTTTAAAGATTCCCTAAGCCTTGCAAAACATTAAAGCATTTATAGTTTCTTTTGATAACTTAAGTGAAAATATGTTTAGGTCTCAAGGGGAAACTGCCTCTGCTTTTCTTGCACTATTAACCCAGCAACAGAGTCAGAGCATGTTTGTTTCACTACATCGGGGAGTGTATTCCCAGGAAACTTTGCCTGACAGTGGCTGGAGCCTCCTAAAAGCTATCACTGTGAAAGCTAAACCGTGCTCACCACCAGGCATCTCTCTGGGGAAAGAAATACATGTCATTCAGCTTCACTGGGGCCTTGATCTCAGTGGTGGCCCCACGAGAGAACTGCCACTTACATGCTCCCCCCATAACAGACAGACACCTTTCGAGAGGACTCCTGTCCATTCAGGAGGACTTTTTTACAGGATAAGAAATCACTTTACCAGTGAGGTAGCTGATGGTGGCCTCCCTGTGTTCAGGATCTTATTCCACCCTCCAGGACTATTCTGAGGGCTAGAACAACAGATCATGGCATGAGTTTGGGAGGAGACTCGTGGTTCATAATGAAGGATAGGTGGCTACCACAGGCTGGAAGGTGACACCCAGGTTTATTGCTTTGGCAATTCATTTGTACTGCGACTGGATTTGGGAACGGAGGGCCCATTTTGCTTGGCATTAAGCACATGTGGAGGGAAACACCCCTGGAAATCCCTCCCAAAAGCTTGAAGCACAGGCATATGAGGACAGCATACAGGCAGTAGTGGTATAAGAGGAGAGAGAGGGAGATCACTGCAATCAGCTGCTTGAGCTGCTTTTGCAGTGTGATAATTTGCATTTGTGAGCACTACATCTTAAGTGAGCTTTAAGGAGGAGTTTAAGGGAGGCTGAAGAAGTGTTTCAGGGTACTTATATTGGGGTTTTCTCCTGCACCTATGAGAAAATCTCTTGAGAGACTGAGATGATAAGGAAGGAAAATGCATGTCTTAGGCACTGCAGAGTAAGATCTGCTTGCCCAAAGATTTGAAAGATGGTGATGATGTTTGGAAAGTAGGATCTAGAGGTGCTGGGTAGATGTAACCGTAGTAATGGATCATCACCTCTGAAACAATGGCTATTATTTATTTGGAAAGGGCAAAGTAACTTTCATCAAACTTGTGTTTTGCTCTGCCCTCTACAGATTCGGATTCTACAAGTACATGAAAATGGATCGGCCAGAGAAGAGCCTGGACTCCGGAGAAAAGACAGAGCAGCCAGGTAGGGGCCCTAGTGTCACAGCCAGAAGATCCTTTCACCTGTCACTTTTTCATGTGGTCTTCCAGCAGCAGCTGAAAGAAGCTGTTGACTTTCCATAACAAGGAAGTCACAGCCTTTCCCTGCCAGATTATTGTGTCTGGGAGGAGATTTTTGCTGCAGCTTTTACTTCTCTCAAGGGCAGGTTGGGAGGTCACCAAACAGTGGGCTGTAGGAGACAACATGACAACTACCTCTCAGGCCCACAGCTTATCTGAGATGTAATTCTAGCAAAAACATGGGCAGGAGCAACAGAGCCAAAGCTGTGCAGCATGGCAGCCAGTGCTCACACCTGCCTTGCAAATCTGAGGCCAGACAAGACAGCTAAAGGCAAAGCCAGACACCTCCACAGCCTTTGGCAGTGGTGGCTAAGAGGTGCTGAGAAGGTTGGTGCCACAGGAGCATCCCTGTCCTCTGAGCAGGAGGGGCAATGCTGAGGTGAGGCGACAAGTAGCTGCCCCCAGCAGGACGAGTGCCTGTGTTAGGACAGGGAAAGCAGTGGGAGGATGCCAGAGATGTAACTTCAGTTACTCCTGCAGGCTCCCAGGAGGGGAACCTGGATGACCTGCAGTACGAGGAGCAGGACACAGAGAGTACCCGTCCCGCCGAGCACCCTGGCACAGTGAAGGCAGAGCTGTTGGGCAACGCTCCCGGCAGCATTTTGGGCAGGGACAATATCCACGAGGACTATTCCTTCCGGGACCGTCGTCGGCTCCTCTCAGTAATGGGCAGTAACATAGGAGAGGGGATACAAAGGAGAAGGACAAAGAGGTCTGGTGTCAAATCAGCCGTGCTGGCCTCTACTAACCAAAGCCTCAGCCAGGTTGGCCTGGAGGGGAACCCAGTAACAAAGAGACCCCGTTTAAAAGCTGGTGTCAAAGACAACTCCAGGAGCCCTCTGCAGCATGCCAGGGCCATCCAGGGGAGAGTGCCTGTCAGAAGGGCAAACCCTCCTTCTAGGACCGTGTCTCAAAGACAGCAGTCTTTTAGCCACCCAAGGGACTCAGGGGTCACAATTCCCAAAGGGGTGAGACCTCGAGGAAATCTCAGCACTACTAAGGACGGGCTGCAGCCAGCAGGCACCGTGCCAGCCAGGAAAGGAGGCCCAGTCTCTGGCAAAGCCAGCAGACGCTCTGTGAGCACTGCCAGCCCCAGCCAGCCTGGGCTGCCCCAGTGGCTGAACCAAGTGGAGTCCTACATTGCTGAGCACAAGGCAGCCAATGGTGGGGACATGGACGAAAGAGAGGTACAGGTGCCATCTCCTGTGAAGGGCAAGTCTGCACCTGTGGCAGCAGAAGACGAAGAGGAAGAGGTGGATGGGGAGCCAGAGGAGGAAGATGAGGAGGATTTTGATTACGTACCGGTGTTTGACCAGGCAGTGAACTGGGAGCAGACCTTCAGCGCGAGCAACCTGGACTTCCATATGCTGCGCACAGACTGGATTGACCTGAAATGCAACACATCAGGAAACTTGCTGCTAAGAGAAAGGGAGGCCCTGGAAGTTACACGTGTCTTCCTGAAGAAGCTCAACCAGAGGAGTAAAGGGTAAGGCACAGTGAGAGAACCAAGGGACAGAGTCCCGGAGCTGGTGTACCCTGCTGCACAGAGAATGCCTGTCATGTGAGTAACTAGTGAGAATCAGAGGATAAATTACATGTGGGAAATAAGATTTCAGGCAAGGAATCTATGTAAAACACTGGGCTTTAAATATACCTCTTTTGGCTGATAACTGGTGCCAGCTTTTGCTGGTGCTCTCTTTTTTTTACATGGTCTTGATGTGGTTCTTTTTCTTCTCAAGATTTACCATCCTGATTGCCTTTCTGGCAAACAGACATAATTCATCTGAGCCTCATAAGCTAAACAATCCAACTCCTGACTCTTCTGTCGGGTTGGTGTCTATTTCCATAATTTTTTAACCAGTCCTTTTCCGTGCAGGTTTCAGTTCGAGTTAATCTTCCTTGACATTAGTAACCAGTATCCTAGATATTTTATAGAATAGGTGTTATGAATTTCCAATCCCTGCTGTCTGATGCTACATCTTAAGATCACATTTGTTTTTTCAGGGTCACATCACACTGTTACACAGTCAGGTGTAACTGATCACTACACACAAGCTTTTCTCTGGCAAGCATCAACTTTACAGCAGAAACTCTTGTTATGATCTGAAAGGGCATATGATCTGGCATTTCGTCCAGTTTTGGCCATTTCAAACCTAAAGCTCACTCCAGTTTTTGCTGTGTGATTGCTCAGTCCTCCTCCATGTTCTTGGCTGATAAGCTGTCATGAGCCAGTTTCACTAGCCCAAACATACTCCTTGTGCCAAGATCGTTGTAGGTGGTGTTGAGTACACTCACTACTACCAGCCCTACAATCATTCAGACACATTTGTTATTTTCTGTGTCACCTTTATTTCGTTTCCCCTGCCAAATATTTTTCTCTTGGCTGGAATCCCAGGTCTAATCCCACATGCTTGTGGATTTAGGAAACAGGTGCTAAACCTTCCCATGGGACTTGGGAAGCAGTGCAGCGAAGCAAGGAGAAGCTGGGGACAGAAAGGTTTGTGCTAGCCAGGAGGAAGGAGCCTAGCAAAGATGAACAGGCTGGAGGTGGGAGCAGGGCTGGTGTAGAGGGGACATGCCCATGCCGACTCTTATCTCCTGCAGGCGGTTTCAGCTGCAGCGTATCGTGAACGTGGAGAAACGCCAGGACCGCATGCGGGGCAGCCGCTACCTGCTGGAGCTGGAGCTGCTGGAGCAGGGAGGGCGGCTCGTCCGCTTCTCCGAGTACGTCTTCGCCCAGGGCTGGCAGGGAGTTGGTGGCAATGAGGAGGAGGAGAGGAAGATGAGGAGCCTGGTGTGGGGTCGCCGGCGGCACCTGATGGCTGTGGCGAACGAGCCAGAGCTGTGCTGGCCTCAGGGCTTTTCCTGGAACCACCGTGCCATGGTTCACTTCGTGGTGCCAGGTAAGGAGGATCTGCCTCCCCAGAACACCAAGGGATGGCAAAGTGGGCGGTTCCCATGAGGGCAGTCCTGAACAGTGAACCTAGGCCAGTCTCTACCATCTCATTTGGGTCACTTCCAATTTCTGTCCTCTCCAAGTAAAACCCCCTCAGAAATTTTATAGGGCCCAAACTTCCATGGCTTGTAAGCTCAAAGAAAACTCCTGTCACGTGGTGGGAAAGAACCCGCACTGATTCCTTGATTCTTTGGACCAGGTTTTCAGCCTGGGCCTGTTTCAGCATCCCTGCAAGGTTATTGGGGTTTGACAGGAGGCAAGAAGCCTTGCCTGTTGAGAAACAACACCATCACTGAAATCAGTTTGCTTAGATTATCTCCCTGTTGCAATACAACCAGTGAAAAACCAGGCACGTTGGGTGCTGCAGTTCATCTCTGACATGGAAGAGCTGTTCCAAATCACTAAGGATCCCAACTTCAACATCATCATCACAGACTACAGCAGTGATGACATGGATGTAGAGAAGGCTCTGAAAAGGTCTACCTTGCACAGGTGAGAGTACTGCTTGATCACAAAAAAACCACTCACACACGTATGCTGCAAACACAGCACCTCTGCCAGTCTCTGTGTGTTGACCAGCCACAGCCTGCTGCAGCTGGAAAACCAAAGATAACACCCACCCAGACCTTGCACATATACATGAATATATTGTTATCATGATGTGCATACACACCATGTACTGCGTGGAACGGTGTTATAAAAGTGTAAGGCAATAGCTAGTGTAGTATTCCAGCCAAATTTGTTGAATTTGTTTATTTTCAAGTTTGCAAGAGAGAAGACAAAGCAAGTCTCACGGTGATGGGGCAGAGGGAGGACAGACAAGAAAGCTGTGAGAAATAGGACAGGGAGCGTGGAGGCCTCTGGGGACTCCACTTGCTCGAATAACTGTCTGGCTTACCTTACTCTGATCTGAACCAGCCTTGGCTGGTCATTTCCTTTACATACCAGTAACAGGTCTAGTCCTAGAATAGACTGGACTATAGCTGAAAAGACTTTTGCTAGGCATTGCCCTCCCCTTGCTGCACAAGGAGGAAGACTCGGAGGGCATGATGGGAACTGGAACAGTGCTAAACTTGTGCACTCACCCAGCAAAGGCTTTCCTCGTCCTTGAGAGGGTGCACGGGGTGAGGGCAGCTCCATAGCCTGATGCCCGTGGTGCTTCCTGTGCCACCGGCACATGGGAACTGAACTTGACTTTCCTATCTGTCCCCCAGCTACCAGTACCTGAAGCTGACAGGGAATTTCGAGCGTTCTGCTGGGCTGCAGGCGGGAATAGACCTTGTGACGGTAAGTCTGGGCACCCTTGGGGTGGATACTGGTGCTATCATTACTTTTGGTACTGTACACGCTGTTTTTAGGGAAAGGAATAGCTTGGCAGACTAGATCAAATGTGGATATGTTTCCTGTCCTTCCAGAGTAAGGGTCTCACCCTGTATTCTGAGGAGCCTGTGTTCTGTTTGGTTCTCAGTCCCCCTGCTGGGACTGTCAGACAGGAGGGAAATCAGCGGTAGCAGCTTTGTGATACTGGCTCTGCCAGATCATAGTTGTGGTATTTTACATTTATCGTTGTACAGTCACTCAGTGGCTGCTTTACCAGCCTCTAGGACCTCAGTTGCTGATGCAGCAACAAATAGCTTTTTAATTGACTCCCATATATCTGTCTTCCTGCTCCTCAAGAAAGACTTACTGAAAGTCAATCTATTTTTTTCCCAACCGGTGTGGTTCATTCCAGGACCCACACAGCATCATCTTCCTGTGTGACCTCCACATCCACTTCCCAGCTGGAGTCATTGATTCAATCAGGAAGCACTGTGTGGAAGGCAAGATGGCCTTCGCACCCATGGTCATGAGGCTGCACTGCGGGATGTCCCCACAGTGGCCTGAAGGTAAGAGAGGGTGGAGCCTCTTTGGCTCAGACCTTGGGGAATGGGGAAAGAAGCAGGATGTCTGCCACCTCTAGATTTGTTCCTCTGGTGTTGTTGAGGTCTGAAGCTTGAGGTACTTCCAGGTCCACAAAGTGAGGGTGTGTTAGATGTGGTTTAACAGCATCAGGTACCTGGAATTTGAGATCAAAAAGCTAGCAGAGCCCTTTGTATGATGTTTCTCCTGGTCATCTCCTGGGGCTCTTTGTGGATTTAAGGACCTTGGAAAACCCTTCCTTTACTCCCTTCTGTCCATTTTTCTCTTTTCTTAGAGAGCACAGCCTGTCCTGAGGAGAGCTGGTAGAGTCAGAGGGGGAAAAGTGGCATAGATATCTTAGCATGGGATTTTCTTTAGACAGAGGTGGCCACCCGGAGCCATTCAGGCACAGGGCAACTCTGTGAAGCTGGGACAGTCCAGGAGGTGTTGGAGGCTCTGCTAACAAGTTGATAGGACAGCCCATGCTGTCTATCCTCAAGCCTTTCTCACTTCCCAAAACTGGTTGGAATGGTTGGCTCTGCCTTGCTGCTGAGTTCACTCTCTGGTGTCAACATTATGCTGAAAGTAGTTTGAGTCTCTCTCCAGAATCTCTGCTGGAGTCATCAATGGTTCCAAGCACCAACATACCTGTGCCTCTTTTGTGCTCTCCTCAGGCTACTGGGAGGTGAATGGGTTTGGTCTCCTGGGCATATACAAGTCTGACCTGGACAAGATTGGAGGCATGAACACAAAAGAGTTTCGGGACCGCTGGGGAGGAGAGGACTGGGAACTCCTGGACAGGTAGGCATCCACTGTCATTGTTCATGTGCTCAGGAAGGGAGACCCATTGGATCTTGGAAGACCAGTGACCACAGGAGTAGGGATATAAGGAGATTGAGATGACTGCTGCCATAAGCTTGATCAGTGAGGGAGAGTCTTTGAACCTGTCCTGACCTCAAACCTAGTAGGTTAGGAGACACAAAACACTCTCCTACAGCCACTAGTAGGAGAAGAGCCATTTTCTGGTGCCTTAGTGCCACACTGCTGGTTGGCCACATGCAGATCAGGCACCGGTGATTGTGAAGGCTTTGTCCTCTTCCAGCAGTGCAGCTCACAGTCTGGGTCGCTCAGACTTGTCATATAACATTTAGCAATTGTCCAGAAGACCAACTGTTGGAGAAATATTTAAAGGTCACAAGGTACAGTTCCAGTTTCCAAGAAGTTTGTAGTGAGGGATCTCTGCTGGACAAATCCTAGGCCTCTGGGTTTGTAGTTCTAGGCTTTGGGCCCTGTCCTGTCTTTTCTGACAGCTGACTACAGAAAAGACTAGCATCCTGAGCAATCCTGTGCTGCCAGCTGTCTTTTTCTCCTAGCCTGGTATGTGCAGGCACTCCTGACCAGTCCTGCCCTCAAGGGTGCATAAACACTCACCAAGTGTCATTAAATGCCTGCTTATGGATACGAGATACCCCTGAGCTATTCTGGACTATCCAACTGAGTTGTAGTCTCTTGTCAACAGCACAACTTAAAAGAGTTTTCCTGGGGCTGAGCCCCCCCCAGTATCTTTGCGATCAAGTTTTCTCTGAGTCTACCCTTCTTTCTGCCAGGATCTTACAGGCTGGGCTGGAAGTGGAGCGTCTCTCCCTGAGAAACTTTTTCCACTGGTTTCACTCAAAGCGGGGCATGTGGAACCGACGCCAGCTGAAGACGCTGTAGCCTTCAACCCCACAGCTGTTCGGCGGCACCGTCCACCATCTCATCTAGATGTGCACTTTACTGAGGCACACAGCCGAGCACACAAACTCTTCCTCTGCCTCCAGAGCCCTCTGATGGGATGGCACAGCCAGGGAAGGGGTGATCAGGCTGGCAGAGCAGGAGCTTCTCTTCTGAGCCGTTGTATCCAAGACGTGGGATCCATGTCTGGCTGGGAAGGTGTGCGGGGGAGATGTCGACAAGGGAAGGACTCACGTTTCCTGCCGTGCAGTCTGGTGGATGGTACAGTGGGAGAGGTGCCATATTTCCTGTTGAGTCTTGCACCAAACAAACACAAATCCCAGCTAAGCCCAGAATGGTTTATTTAGAGCAATGCAGCTTCTTTTTCAATACTTGAATGAAAAAAAAAAAAAAAAAAAAAAAAAAAAGAAAAAAACACAACCCTCCCCATTTCCCCTC